AGTGGCTGATCTGTAAACTTCACATTCGCAGCTTTCAATAACTCACCTCCTGTCTCTCCTCCAATTGTGATTTTATTGAAATAATTGCTCAGAAAGATGGTAACAACACTCTTGGTCTCCAATTTGAGGGGGTTGGATTGGTGGGGGGGGGGGGGGGGTGGGGGGGGGGGGGCAGCGGGAAGGGGATGGTGGGAAGCTGGCTCTGCTCAAATCTTTGACATCACCAGTTGGTGGCACAATGTTTACTCATTGTCCACCGTGGTGGTTAATTTCCCCCAACTCCTGACCCAAAGTCAGCTTGTTTCGATGTCACATTCTGCCAAAGGGGTAAGAATTAGTCTCTTGGGCAACGTTGGGATAAGAGTATTGACCAGTAAGAGTTCTGTCTAGTGAGGCAGGAAGTTGAGTTCAAGCCCTGCTCCAATCACCTGAGTTCATTGTTGGGCTGATGCTCTCAGGGCACTGATGAGGGGATGTGTTCTCCTGTACATGGACCAGTTAAACAAGGATAACATGTACTCATTTGCATACATATGACAATAAAGCTAATTCTAATTCTGAGTGAAGTGGGTTATCTCAGTACAACAGGACCTTGATCAGATGGCCCAATGGGCCGAGGAGTGGCAGATGGAGTTTAATTTAGATAAATGTGAGGTGCTGCATTTTGGAAAGGCAAATCAGGACAGGACTTATACACTTAATGGTAAGGTCCTGGGAAGGGTTGCTGAACGGAGGCCTTGGAGTGCAGGTTCACAGCTCCTTGAAAGTGGAGTCTCAGATAGGACAGAGAAGACAGCGCGTGGTACGCTTGCCTTTATTGGTCAGTGCATTCAGTATAGAAGTTGGGAGGTCATTTTGCAGCTGTACGGGCACTGATTAGGCCACTTTTGGAATACTGCATTCAATTCTGGTCTCCCTGCTATAGGAAGGATGTTAAGAAACTAGAAAGGGTTCAGAAAAGATTTACAAGGATGTTGCCAGGGTTGGAGGGTTTGAGCTATAGGGAGAGGCTGAATAAGTTGGGACTATTTCCCCTGGAGCATCAGAGGCTGAGGGGTGACATTAGAGGTTTATAAAAATCATGACAGGCATGAATACGGTAAATAGACAAGGTCTTTCCCTGGGGCAGGGGGCATGTCTAACTAGAGGCTATAGGTTTAAAGGAGAGGGGAGAAAGATTTAAAAGCAACTTGAGGGGTAACTTTTTCCACAGAGTGGTGGGTGTATGAACAAGCTGCCAGGGAAAGTGGTAGATGCAGGTAAAGTTACAATATTTAGGCAGGTTCATTGATAGGAAAGGTTTAGATGGATACAGACCAAATAGGACTAGATTCATTTGAGATAGCTGGCAGGTGCAGACAATTTGGAGCAAAGGGTCTGTTTCCATGCTGTACATCTGTATGACTCAAGCAGATGCATCGAATCCAAATATTTGAGGGAGAGCAGGGAATTTTCCTTGGTATCGTCACTAATACTTCTTCCCAGCCAAGAAATCAGATTGTCTAGTCATTGTCATGGTGCTGTTTGTGGAATCTTGCTGTGTATAAAGCTGGCTGCTGGGTTTCCTACCTTACACTGTGATGACACTTGAACCAGTATCTCACTGGCTGTAGGATATCCTGCAGTTATAAAAGGTCCTCATGTAAGTTATTTCAGAAGGTCTGGGTAGTGTCCCTGCCTCTGTGGCAGGAGCTCTGGGTTCAAGTCTTGAAGGTCAAGGAAGTAGAAATAGACCATTCAGCCTATCATACTGCTGTAATAAGATCATGGCTGATCAAATAACTCTCAACTCCATTTTCCTGCCTTTTCCCCACATCCCTTCATTCCTTCACTGATTAATGGGTACTTTTGGAACATGGTCAAGCAGATCAAGCAACAGTTCCAAATCCTTCCAAAATACAGTGGCAGATGGTCAACCAGGAGAGATTGTCTCCAGCACAGGGCTGACTATCGATGTTGAGTCTTTGACATCAGGTTCCACAGCTCCAAGTGGGAAAGGTTCATGTTGTCACAGTAACTCCCAACTCCTTGTTGACTGGAAAGCCAATGTGGATCAGATTAGTGCCCAACAGGGTTGGGGTCCGATCCCCATTCTGGCCAGCACTGGGTGATTTGAGAGCTGCCTCCTCACTCCATCCATGACGGAGAGACTATGGGTCAGCCCTGCCCTTGAGCGGACATCACCACTGAGTGAAATGCCAGCTGAAAGCCGAACCTCTTTACAAATGAATATGGGGCAGATTCTGGACCTTCTGTGAAATGCAGTATTCATTAACAGTATTGGGATGGCCCTTGAGGCCACATTACTGCTCAATGTCCTAAATAAACAAAGACTGATGAGGGTCCGTTCCAGAGAGACAGGAGAATTTAAAGAGGAATAAGGAATCACAAAAATTCACCAAAAATGTTGCACCTCTGTCTTACACAGAAAGAGACCAGGAGCAGCAGCAGGCCATTTGGTCCTTTGTGCCTGCTTCCTGATTCATTATGATTATGGCTAATTGTCCAACTCAGGAGGTGATGGTCCAGTGCTATTAACTCAATGCTATTAATCCAGAGACCCAGGTAATGATCTGAGGACCTGGGTTTGAATCCTGCCACTGCAGATGGCATTAATTGTTTAATGGTGACCATGAAGCTGTTGTTGTAAAAGCCCATCTGGTGTACTAGTGTCCTTTAGGGAAGGAAATCTGCCACCCTTACCTGGTCTGGCCTACATGTGACTCCAGACCACAGCAACCTGGTTGATTTTTAAACTGCCCTCTTGTCAATTAGGGATGAGCAATAAATGATGGTCTAGACAATGATGACCATGTCTAATGAATGAAAAAAATGGTCTCTAGAACATAGAACATAGAACATTACAGCGCAGTACAGGCCCTTCGGCCCTCAATGTTGCGCCGACCTGTGAAACCAATCTGAAGCCCATCTAACCTAAACTATTCCATTATCATCCATATGTTTATCCAATGACCATTTAAATGCCCTTAAAGTGGGCGAGTCTACTATTTTTGCAGGCAGGGCATTCCACGCATTCTCCCATACCCCAAGAACTACATCTAATTCCTTCTTTAAAAACACATTCATGTGTTGGCTTCAACTGCTTTGTGGCATAAAATTCCACAGGCTCAATATTTTTCTGCTTTGTACCAGGATTCAGTACCCAGGCACCTTTGTATCCAATATGTGCTGCAAGTAGTGACTTGTAAACTTTTCACATGAGTACATGTGACAATAAATCTAATTCAATTCAATTCATCTCAGTTCTAACAGAACAACACATTATCCTTAGACTGTGACCCCGGTTCTGGACTCCCCAGTCATTAGGAACATCTTTGTGCTTAACCTGTCCAGTCCTGTTATAGGTTTTTGAGATTTCCCCTCCTCTGTGTAAATTCCAAGTGAATATAATCCTAACTGATCCAGTCTCTCTTCATACATCGGCCCTGCCATCCCAGGAATCAGTCTGGGAAACCTTTGCTGCCCTCCTTCTATAGTACAAACATCCTTCCTCAGATAAGGAGGCCAAAACTGCATACAAATTCCAGGTATGGTCTCACCAAGGCCCTGTAAAATTGTAGCAAGACATTCCTACTCCTGTACTCAAATGCTTTCACTATGAAGGTCAACATACCATTTACCTTCCTCACTGCCTGCTGCACAAGGACACCCAGGTCTCATTGCACACACTCCCCCACTTTACCCGTCTATCAATCATTCAGATGAAATTGGCCTTCCTATTTTTGGTCCCAAAGTGGATAACCTCACATTGATCCACATCATACTGCACCTACCTTGCATTTACCCACTCACACAGCCTCCAAATCACACTGAAGCAAAAACAGAAGTAGCTGGAAAATCTCAGCAGGTCTGGCAGCATCTAAGAAAAAAAATCAGTTAACATTTCGGGTCCGGTGACCCTTCCTCAGAACTCCGAACCCTCAGAATGCTGAAGCATCTCTGCTTCCTCCTCACAGCTCACCCTCCCACCCAGCTTTGTATCATCTGCAAACGTGGAGGTATTACTTGTAGTTCCAATGTCTAAATTATTAGTAAGTAGTTTGAATAGCTGGGGTCCTAGCACTGAGCCCTGCTGTATCCCATGACTCACTGCCTGCCCCTCAGAAAATGACCCATTTTTATTCCTTTTCTTAGTTTGCTATCCATCAGCCAGCTCTCTAGCCATCTCAATACACTAACACCTCCCAATGCCATGCACTTTCATTTAAGGAGGCAGATTACCACCACCTTGTCCAGGGCAATTAAGGATATGCAATAAATACTAGTCCAGCCAGCAATGCCCTCATGACATGAATGAGTAAATACCTGGGGTTTGTTACCCAAGTGGCCAGCACATTGACCTTTGGACATCGCACACGCAAGCACTGGAGGTAATTCTGGTGATGTTTGACAGTTGCTGGGGGGTATATTCGGGGATTTTTCAGATAATCCAGTATCCCATTTCCTGTTCACACTGATTCATGATGAGTCAGCATCAAAGGAAAATTGACAAAACAAAGAATCAGCACACAGGAGGAGACAGTTCAGCCAATTGAGGCTGTACTGGCTTCAAAATGTTTCTAGTCTACTCTCCTCACCGCCCCCACACCCACCTTCCACTTGATCTATATCATTATAGTGAATGTCACATCCATCCACTGTCCAAGTGTGAGGGTCCCTGCCCCAGTTACCCTCTCAGTAGGTTCCACACGAACTGGCCACTTCAGGATGAAACAATTATTCTTCAAATCCCTCCTAATCCTGCAAATCTTCACTCTGCAAAGGGGAATGAGCCCTTTGGATCCTCTGTCTGAGGACCTCAGAATTATATCCACTCCCTCAAGTCTCGCTCAGCCTCCTCTGTTACCATGGGGACTACGTAACAGAAATCCCCCCGACCAGCAACATCCTCACAAATCCTCTCCAGCACAAATAACGTGGTTTCAAATGGATGGGATTGGGATAGATCCCAGACAATGTCATTCCAACAGCATACTCACCACCACCATTTTTGTAACACAGGTAGGGAAATCGCCAAACGTTACCCAGTCCCACAGCAAACCCTACACAGGACATGATGAAATCCATCTGTCGTGTCCATGTCTCTCGCTCCGACACCGGATCTTTGACACAACCGTTTGTGACAACGAGAGGAGTCAATACAGATTTATCTTCCTGACCAGACTCGGGGTCACCAGCCAGTTCAGTGTTTTCGCTTTCAGGGGCACGGGGACAGCCAATTCCACCTGAAAATAAAACAGGCACAAGACAACAACAGACAGGCATTATTCCAGCACCAGTCACAAAACCACCATCTTTTAAAGTGTTTACACACAGTAAAGGTACTATCCAAAAAGGTACTTACCCTTAAATGTAGGAAAAAGCAGTCAAATTATACAAACGAAAACTCCATGGGTGGCACTCCCCGAGCACTGACCCTTGCTGAACGCGCGCACCACCCCACCCCCTCCCCCTGCCCCTCCCCCTCCCGTGACATTTACAATGGGCCTGCAGAGAGAGGGGATGGTGGGGTCATTGAGCCAGTTATTGAACATCCCTGGCCATTGTTCTGGGGAACCTGCGTTCCAATCTCTTCATTGCAGACCGCAGCATTTGAAGTCAGTGGCGATCTGAAAATAAAAGCTAACCTAATAGTGACCATGTTGTTACAAATAATCCCATCTGCCAAATGCCCTTTTAGGGAAGGAAACTGCCATCCTTACCTGGGTCTGGCCTACATGTGACTCCAGACCCACAGCAATGTAGCTGACTCTTAGTCCCACTCTAGGTAATACCAAGATCCCATTAATGAACAAAACTAAATTCCGTTCTGCAATGGTGATTTAACTGGGCTAAAGATCTGTGAAACAGAGCTCAAATCCCAATTTGACACGCTTGGAAATTTGAATTCTGTTTTAAAAGAATCTGGAAATAGCAATCTGGTCTCAGACCAAGTGACCATGAATATCATTCTGCAAAGATGGTGAGAATTAGTCAGTTTGGACAGGATATAAAAAGCAAAGAATTAAAGATTATTAATGAGGGGAAACAGAGTACAAGAGAAAGTCAGTCAAAAGTATAAAGTCAGGAAACGTTTGCCAGATATTTAAACAAAAACAAACAGCTAATGAAGTAGATGACAGTCCTATAGAAAAGGAGTCTGGGGAATTAGTAATGTAGGGTAAAGGAGATGGCAAATGAATTGAACAGACATGTTGCATCAGTCTTCACTGGAGATGAAACAAACACCCCAAAATAACTGAAAGAGAGGGGGAGGAACTAAACAAAATTCCAATTACCAGGGAAGTAGTAAGCCATTGGAAACATGAGTTGAAAGTCCTCAGGTCCTGATGGATTTCATCTGAGGATCTTAAGTAGCTAGAGAGATAGTTAGTGCATTAGTTTTAAATCTTCCAAAAATACTCATTAGATTCAGGGAATATTCCTTTTATATTGGAAAATTGCTAACTTAACTCCCTTATTCAAACAGGGATAGAGGCAGAAAGCAGGAAACTATTAGCCAATTAGCATCACATCTATTCTTGTCGCAAAGTTAAAGTTATTATTAACGACATTATAACTGGGCACTTGGATAAGTTCAAAGGTAATCAGGCAGAGCCAACATGGTTTTGTCAAGGGGAAGTCATATTTAACGAATTTAGTGGAGTTATTTGTAGAAGCACCTTGTGCTGTAGATAAAGGAGAATCAGTGGGAGGTACTATATGTAGATTTCCAGAAGGCATTTCATATGGTGCCAGATCAAAAAGGTTTATGGTAGTGTCGGGTAAAGGTGATGTCATCTCAGGGTTGTGCCCCAAGAGGGTGAGTGTAAGAGAGAACAGTGCTGGCTTAATCTGAGGGTCACCATGCCTCAGACAAAGGGAGAGATTGAGGAGGGAGTGTCTCAGACTGGTACAGGAATTGCATCCATGCTGTTGACACTACAGTGTCACAAACTAACTGTCCAGCCAACTGAACTAACCGACTCCTTTGTGGTGTATGTTTGCTGATGACAAAGATAGGTAGGAAAGTGAGTTTTGGAGAGGCTACACAAAAAAAAGGATCCTGCAAAGGGACGTAGATACATTCATTGATTGGGCAAAGATGTGACAAATTGAGGAATGTGGAAAAGTGCACTATTGTCCATTTAGGCAGACAGAATTAAAAAAGCAGCAAATTATCCAAATGGGGAGAGGCTACAGAGGGATCTGGGTGTCCTAGTGCATGAACCAAGGTTAGTGTGCAAGTAATCAGGAAAGCTAATAGAATGTTATGGCTTGTGAGGGGAATTGAATGCAAAAGTAGGTTGTTATGCTTCAGTTATACAGGGCATTGGTGAGACAACTACAGTAGCGTGTAAGTATAGTGACCAGTCTTGCACAGAAGGACGTTAATGTATTGGAAGCTGATCAGAGAAAGTTTGCTAGACTAATAGCTGGAATGAGCAAGTTGCCTTGGAGAGACTAGGCCTGTATTGTAAGCATGGGCTGAATGGCTTCTTCTGTGCTATAACGTTGTGTATGCTTACATTTATGCCTTTTATGTAGAAACACATTCCAACACACAACACAGAAATATAATCAGACAAGAATTAACATTGATTGAAAGGAGCAGCTGGGAGGCCTAACAAAGGCTTAGTCAAAGAGGGAACTTGTAATAAAGGCCTTACAGGAAGAACAAGCAGAGGCTTGAGAAGGGAACTCCAGGTCTCAAGGCGCAGGCACTAAGCGGAATGAAGGAAGTGGAAGATACACAAGAGGAATGGTTTGGACGACATGTAGACAGATGAGACAATTGATGAATCTACCCAGTGGCCACTAAGTCTTGGACTCCCTAACCAGAGACAGGAGCAGGCCATTCAACCGCTCTCCATTAAGATGGAACCATAGGGAGTAAAGCAAACTGAGGAGTGGGTGATAACAGGCTGTATGTGATCAGCAAGTCCTGATCAGTTTAGTACAAGGAAACATCTCCATGGGAGAGCCATAGCAACCAAGAGGCTCCTCTTAGTTCCTGGTAGTTACCAGACAAATCTCAAGTCAGTCAAACCAAATCCAGCACAAACTAGCAGGAGCTACTGTCTGCCTCAAGCGACTGTACTTAATTAAAATCAAACTAGAACAGATTGTTCAGGCAGTGCCAAGATGAGAAACCATCCCACTCACACCAACTCCTGCAAAAACACAAATCAAATTAACTGGCTCCTGTTATCTGTGTTGCTAGGACAGCCATTTCATAATCAGGCCTTTAGAATATCCAGTGTATCCAATACTGCGGCCACTAGATTTACTCACTTTGAAAGATACAATTACTAGAAAAAAACTGGTTAGGAAATGGATGCAGTTGTTTCCATTTAGAAGGCAAAAAGACTGAATTAAATCCTGTTGCTCCTGACCAACCCAGTGCCAAAGCATCAAGAGCAGTCCTTGCTGCTCACACACCACATTCCAAAAATTGTCAGGTTGTCTTTTCTGTGTCACTTTCATCACATTCTCTCCTTCAATCAGCCTGAACCAAAAACTCAAGTTCTAGCTTAATACCAGTGACTAAAATGGCCAGATTCCATGGCTAGGCTGTGCACATGAACTAAAGTAGTCCCAGGGTCTCATGGGGATGATCAATGGATAATCAAAACCAGGGGCCTAAGACCTCTAAATGACTTCAAAAAGGGGGAAAAAAAGAGATCTTTTACATTCATATCAAGGTGTAGAGCTGGATGAACACATCAGGCCAAGCAGCATCAGAGGGGCAGGAAAGCTGACGTTTCGGGTCTAGACCCTTCTACATTTATATAGTGCTTTTCACCTTCAGAAATCTCACTATGCTTCCAGCCAATGGAGTATTACCACTGTTGTAACATGGGAAATACAACAGCTGATTTGAGGTTAATAAGATCCCACAAACAGGATTGTGATACATGGCAAAAAAAAAAAAATCTGTTTTGTTACCCTAACAGAGGGATCAATTAGTCGGGACAACAGGAATAACTGCCCAGCTTTTCCAAAGTAATCCGACAGAAACTAAATTCAACAGAAAAGGAACACAGAGCCTTACTGTAACATCTCATCCAAAACACAGCAACTCCCTCAGCACTCGCACCACCCCCACCCCAATAAACAGCTTCATCTGAGAGAGATAGTAGGAACTGCAGATGCTGGAGAATCTGAGATAATAAGGTGTAGAGCTGGATGAACACAGCAGGCCAAGCAGCATCAGAGGGGCAGGAAGGCTGACGTTTCGGGCCTAGACCCTTCTTCAGAAATGGGGGAGGGGAAGGGGATTCTGAAATAAATAGGGAGGTGGATAGAAGATGGATATAGGAGAAGATAGGTGGAGAGGAGACGGACAGGTCAAAGAGGCGGGGATGGAGCCAGTAAAGGTGAGTGTAGGTGAGGAGGTGTGGAGGAGATAGGTCAGTCCAGGGAGGATGGACAGGTCAAGGGGGCGGGATGAGGTTAGCAGGTAGGAGATGGGGTTGGGGCTTGAGGTGGGAGGAGGAGATAGGTGGGAGGAAGGACAGGTTAAGGAGGCAGGGACGAGCTGGGCTGGTTTTGGGATGCGGTAGGGGGAGGGGAGATTTTGAAGCTTGTGAAGTCCACATTGATACCAATGGGCTGCAGGGTTCCCAAGCGAAATAGGAGGTGCTGTTCCTGCAGCCTTCGAAGGTTGATTCAGGTTGATTGTCAGATTCTCTGGGGTTTCTCTGTCATCCCACAGGGAGCTGCCCCCAAACCATCGGCAGGGCACGGGCTCCCCAGCCCCGGGGGGGGGCACACACCAGCTCCCCAGAGAATTCCCGTGGGGGTGGGGGATCACTGCCCAGGGTCACCTTTTTGGGGGGGTGGCCTGTGGGTGTTCGGGGTCACAATGAGGGGTATTCACTCTGGGTGGGGGGAAAATCACACAGGGAGTGGTCGCGGTATGGAAGTGAGCTGTCTGACAGTGCATGATGTGGGAGTCGCAGACCACCTCACCCATACATTGGGCTGAATGGCCTCATCCTCCTCTTTCAGATAGATGAGATGAAGTGACCCAGGTGCAGTATAAATCAGGAAGAGAAAGTACACTGCAGTGTAGGTCATATGAACCGAGCTGACGTCCCAGTCACTTTTGTAATATCCCAGAGGGTAGCTACTGCAGGGAAAGGCATAATGTCACTGAATAAATTCCCCTCAGCCTCTTTCTGCTCACCAATCTCACAGGCAGTGTCTCAGCGAAGCAATTTGATTCAAACCATTATAGATC